GAGACATACTTGCACACACACAGACATACTGGCACACACACATAGACATACTAGCACACACATAGACAGACATACTGGCACACACACACACAGACATACAGACTCACACAGAGACATACTGACACACACACAGACATACTGACACACACACACACACACACACAGACAGACATACTGACACACACAGAGATACATACACACACACAAACTTTACACTTTTAAAGCCAGTAGACTGGGGCTGAGTAAGTGGACAGGGCTGTAGTGGGGGGGGGACAGGGGCTTTAGTGGGTGGGCAGGGCTGTAGTGGAGGGTATGACCTGTAATTGAGGGGTTGGGAAATGTAATGGGGGGATAGGGGCTGAAGTAGGTTGATGGCTACAATTTGGGAAAGGAGCTGTGGTGTGGGTGATATGGGTTGCAACTGGGGGAGAGAAGGTGTAGTGGGCATGTTATGGGGGCTGTGGGGGGCATGGGGCTGAGAGGGGGATAGGAGCTGAGAGGGGGTGACATGAACTGAGAGGGGGTGACAGGAGCTGAGAGAGGGGGGGCAGGAGCTGAGGGGGAGAGGAGCTGAGGGGGGATAGGAGTTAGAGGGGGGTACAGGAGCTGAAAGGGGAAATGAGCTGAGAGGGGGCAAGGGCTGAGTAAGGGGGTAAGGGATGAGTAAGGGGCAAGGGCTGAGTAAGGGGGACAGGGGCTGAGTAGGGGACAGGTGCTGAGTAAGGGGAAAGGGCCGAGGAAGGGATAGGGGCTGAGGGACAGGGCTGAGCAAAGGAACAGGGGCTGAGCAAGGGACAGGGGCTGAGGAAGGGGAACATGGGCTGAGAAAAGGAGGGCTGAAGAAGGGGATAGGGGCTGAGGAAAGGGGACAGGGGCTGAGGAAGGGGAACATGGGCTGAGAAAAGGAGGGCTGAGGAAGGGGGCAGGGGCTGAGAAAAGGGGACAGGGGCTGAGGAAGGGGAACATGGGCTGAATAAAGGAGGGCTGAGGAAGGGGACAGGGGCTGAGGAAAAGGGACAGGGCTGAGGAAGGGGACATGGGCTGAGGAAGGGGACAGGGTCGAGGAAGGGGGGCAGGGGCTGAGGATGGGGAACATGGGCTAAGGAAAGGAGGGCTGAGGAAGGGGGCAGGGGCTGAGGAAAGGGTACAGGGGCTGAGGAAGGGGAACATGGGCTGAGTAAAGGAGGGCTGAGGAAGGGGACAGGGGCTGAGGAAAAGGGACAGGGCTGAGGAAGGGGACATGGGCTGAGGAAGGGGAACATGGGCTAAGGAAAGGAGGGCTGAGGAAAGGGTAGTGTGTATCCACAGCAATCGCTGCTGTGTCATTCTGCATCTTTTCTTAGAGATACATTGACACAATGCATTATCTTGGGGAGCATTGGGTGTCTCCATGTCTAGCATGGGGACGCCCAACATCGTTCCTACAATCTTTGTTAAGCCGCTTTCAAAGCCTGATTGTGGTTGGATTATGTGAACTGCAGTGAACAAGTTTCCACCAAGTTCCAGTGTTTTTGGATTGAGTTGGTGTTGTGTATTCTGGTCTGCTTCATCAATGGGCTTCATCTGGCTTTTATAGTATGCACATTCTCCAGAATAATGCCAGAACAGCTCACAAATATCACACAATAGTTTGATAATGTCACTCTTTGTTGCTAGGGTCTAAGACTCCACTTATATTGCAGTATCACAAAGACAGGTGTCTGTAGGAAATTGATCCAAGGCACTTGCCGAAGGATCCTCGGATAAGATCTGGGAAGTTAGCCAATGGCAGCTTGTCCTCTGGTCCACGTTTATGAATTGTGTGGCAAACCTAGCCACTTGAACTATAACTAGAGACTGTGCCTTTAAGGGTTGCCTACAGGTCTGGGGAGATATGCGCTTTATTCTTATGTATGTGCTTGATGTATTTTCTGCAGGGACTGTAATTACTGTTTAGCCGAAGGCCAATGGCGGTTTGTATGGGGATTCCCGTTCGTTTCACGAACGGCACTTTGGAGGGCCGTTCGTGAAGCGAACGCGATACCCCCTCATAGCCCACACACTTAGAGGCGTGTGGCGCTAGTTAACCGATTGCAACATTGTTGCAATCGGTAATTAGGGGCTCTCCTGGGTGGCCGTCGTTCGACTACCGACCATGCGGCGGTCGGCCATCTTGGATCCTTTGTTCCTCAGCGGGTCCGTGTTGTCGAACGCATAGTATTACCAATAGCTATTCGACGGCACGAACACCGCTGAGCCTCCAGGACGTTCGGGAGTTTCAGAACCGTGTTCACTAAAAGTAATCGGTTCTTTTCGTATGTTTTGAAAGAAATGTGTTTTCTGTGCGGCGTTCGGTTATTCTAGCTGGGATCTGAGCGGCAATCTCCCGAATGATGCGCCCAGACCCCAGCTATCTACCGAACGTCCATTCGTGCAAATCCACCGTGTATTTTAAAAGTTATAGATTTTTGTGTGAATTGCCGGTTCTGCTGCACGAGGGGATAATCCCCTTAACGGTGCATTCTGGGAGGATGATCCCTCTTGTGCAGCAGTGCCTGATGGGAGAAATATGTTGTACTGTAAGTCCCCCATGTAGTCCCCTCTGGGAGTGCCCCTGGGGAGGGACTCAGGAAACCCCTTGCATGGGGACTTGTATAAATTGTCGTGCCGATTAAAGGATTTTCAGTTGACTCCCAAAACTGTGTCTCGTCCGGTTATTGGGAGGTTGGGGATATTGCCTTGTTGTTTTCAGCGCTTGACTGTGGATTCGTTTCTGGACCAGCGGAATTCGTGGATTTATTATTGGCGTTCGGCTACAAATTGTATGCACTTAGACGCAACCAACTTTATAGATTCCTACAAAAAAGGGTCACAATAGTAGGAAGGAAGGACACAAGGAACTGTGTCCTAAAGAAAGGCATTTATTAGGCAAGCTACAACCACTCAGGGGGTTAATGTATATTATAAATATGTCCGTATGAGACTCATCAGTTGGTGTTTATATAAGGCAGGTTGCATTTAGACAATATGTGAACGTTTCATTGCCCTATTGAGAAGTTAGCATTAGGTTTTGTCCCCTCTAGTAATGTAGCCGCTATCATATATATGCTAATCAGTGTATTTATGTTTCTATTGCATATATCACACTGTATGGTAAATTCGCATTAAGTAAGCTGCATAGCATCGATGGACCAGTAGACACGATATTTGCACTAGCTGCAGCCCTTATTGTTAGATCTATAAAAAAATAAATAAAAGCTGTATAGCACTCCACTACCAGGCTTTTATCTTTGTATAAAAAGGAGTGTCATCTTCCCTTCAAGCATAAAACTCCTTCCCTGACCTCAGCCACTTAATGCCAAAAATCTAAGGGCACAAATGGGCAAGTAATTGTCCTTTCTCAGTATTTTGCTGGAATTGTTAAAAATAAAAAATAAAAAAAGCGTGATATGTTGTGTTGAAAAAATATCTTCTTTTGGCTTCAGTGAAACGTATAAATAAAAGCAAATGTCATATGATAAGAAAAGCAAAAATGGTGAAGTTAATGTGTAAAATGTAAATAAAAGGGCAAAATGATAAGTAGGCAAATAAGCAAACAAAATACACCGTGAACTGTAGCTTTTTTTTTTATTAATGTTTTGCACTGTTACATAGACTATATTCAAATCAAGTAATTTGCTAACTTTTTTTGTTGGCAAACCATTCATTTGTATAAAAAGTCAAACTAAAATGTAAAAAAAATAAAAAATACTACAGACGTAGAGTTATTTCTTTTCGTTTTTCTTGGCAATTCACCATGTATCTGTTCCAATGCCTCCTTCAGTGTCATGCTCTGCAGATAGAAGAAAATGGACAGCTATATTAACTGACATGAAGCTTTTCCCATACAACAACCTCTTGAAAGTCATATACTACCATCCTGTCATGTCAAGAACACTCTATATTTTTTCAGAACTGTTACTCTCCTTAAAACAATCTCTAATTACCTTTGTCCACCTCTATAACAACCCCCTCCCCCCCCCTTATATTTTCTTAATGGAACCTTTTTGTAGTTTATTTTATTATTTATTCCCATAGTCTCATCTCTCTTACAAGAAACTTGCTCAGAAATTGTCTGTACTTACCCAGGTCATTCAGTACCTTTTATCTTAGTAATTCTTTTGTCCATCAAAGCAAGTCAACTCATACTGTAACAATATGTCTCTATAGCAGTGTCTTTCTATGTATTATATAGTCTTTCCCATTGTAGGTCCTTGTCTATATTGCTTCTACTTATTGTCCTATGTGGTTATTTTGATTTAGTTACTAAATTGTTAAACTTGTATTATCTTGTATGTTCTCGTCTCCTTTTTAAAAAGGATTTATATATGCATCAAATTCTCTAAAGATTTGGTTGGATACTACAAGGGCTATCGCTACCGATGCTTGTTGCATTTATCATCATGCTTGGAGGCTTCTGCTTATATTTCTCTACATTGTATTTAGTATAGCTACAGGTATTTTTGTGTGTGTGAATAATATTGGGCTTCATCTGGTTACACAGAACCTGATAGGAGGTTCAGTACAGAGTACTAGGACACACAGGTCCAAGAGTAGGTCATCATAAACATAACAAGTCTAGCAATTACATTGACAAACTTTGTGGCTGCTTTCCAACTCTCACTTAATGGTCGTAGGTAGTGTCCTCCACTCACCTTCCTTATCCACCAGTTGGCCCCCTCTCCTTTAGTAAAGGGTTGTCTTTTAGGGATATGCATGGAAAAAATATTCGGTTCGGTTCGGCATTCTGAAATTTGGGACTTCGGCACTTCTGTTCAGTTCGGAACTTCGGCACTTCAGAACTTCGACACTTCGGGACTTCGGCACTTCGAGACTTCAGAACTTCAGTACTTCAGGACTTTGGGTAAGTGTAGGGTTAGGGTATGATTAGGGTTGGTTTAGGGTTAGGGTAGGTTTAGGGGTAGGGTTAAAGGTATGGTTAGGGGTAGGGGTAGAGTTAGGGTAGGGTTAGGGGTAGGGCTAGGCTAGGGGTAGGGTTAGGGGTAGTGCTGGGTAGGGTTAGGGCTAGGGTTAGAGGTGGGGTTAGGGTAAGGTTAGGGGTAGGGATAAGGTAGGGGTAGGGTTATGGTAGGGTTAGGGGTAGGGTTAAGGGTAGGGTTGGGTTAGGAGCAGGGTTAGGAATAGGGTTAGGGTTACCCTACCTCTACCCTAACCCTACCCCTAACTCTACTCCAACCACTAACCCTACCCCAATCCCTAACCCTACCCCAACCCCTAACCCCAGCCCTCTCCTGTTTTGCCACTTTTCAGAAACCCAAAGCACTTCAGCACTTCCAAAATTCAGCACTTCGGCAATTCAGTTCAGTTCGGCATTCCAAAATTCAGCACTTCTGAAATTCGGCACTTCGGACATTTGGACATTTGGAAGCATCCGAATGTCTGAAATTCGTCCGAATTTGTATTCGAAATGAAATGACTTGCACATGTCTACTGACCTTTAAAGGTCAATCTCCCCACTCCAGCTCCCTCCCTACACCGGGGAGACTACAAGGCTTTTTAACACCGACTCACTTAAGCAAAAATCCTGTCACCCTTTGTGAGACATCACTGGTGTTTCCTTTGTCGCAACATTGTCCTGCGTGGTGTGTGCCCTACACCCAAATACTAAATACGGTGTTTGTCATAACTGAGCATTGTTTTGTAGTGGAAATATCTCTTAGATTTGCAACATAGATTTGCAACAAACAAGAATTTATTAAAAAATTAAGGCATTATGTATTATATTTTTCTTTAACAAATTATCCCATTAATGCACTAAATAGCAGGATCAGGTAAATGAGAAATGAAAGTTTTGTGTTGCAGAGAATTTATTACTTCTTCACAGATGTCAACCAACGGTTCAGTACATCAGATGAGATCATCCAGAAACATTAGTTCTCGTGAGTATCTTAAGTTGTGTTTCTGGAGGTTCTAGTCTGAATCAGCATCAGTAGTTGTTATCTTGTGTGTGACTTCCTTTCACATATGTACAGCTTTATCCTTTTTTTCCATTGTTTATAGTTTATTTTTATTATCTGTTATATTGCATCAGCTGACACCACAGTGTCTTCAGTATCTTAAAAGGGAATCTAGCCTGGGGTCCATACCTATGCTAGAGGGGTTTACAATCCAGAACTGGTTAATCTTTTTGGGGTAAGATGGCCGTAAAGGATATTATTATAAAGCAAGACAAAATCTGTGCGAAATGGGGAGGGTGGAGTGTTTCATTGTTTAATGTGACAAAGAGAGGAACAGACTCAAAACCAAAAAAGAGAACAGAACAGTATACAAATACTCATGTTTCCAAGTTCCTCTTTTGAATCAAACTCTTGGGATCTCCTGGGAAATTTCAGTAAACCCTTGCATTCTTGTTTACTTAAATAAGCGATTCAATAAACATGAGTTTGCACAATATGTTTATTCATGAATTCTCACTAATTTCCTTATTGAAGTGAATGATGTTTACTCAAGTGTGGACAATAGCACACAAGCAGCAACTTATCTCTGTCATTGTTTGATGGTCTGGACCCCCAGTCTCACTTTCACCTTCTTTGACCCCACCTCCCCCCTCCACCCATTTCTGGCCCTGGGACCCATGCAACTTACCTTTTTCTACATTGTACTGTTCCTGCAGGAACTTCTTTCACAGTACCACCATCTTTGTGTTCCTCAGATGGCAGTTACAGGAATTTCACACTTTGCCCTTCCTTGGGTGTGCACATCAAATGACACACAGGTCCGACACCTCCAGGACCTGGGTTAACTCTCGTAATTGTGTGAGAATCAACATAGAGTGCCAGTGATGCGTCACTCCCAGAAGTGACACAGTGCTGGAAGGAGGTAAGTACAGCTAATAACAAAAGTGAGGAAATTCTCTGAGTTCCGTTAGAACATGCAAATAAGAAAAAGAACTCCAATAGTGTAATCTGTATCAGGCAGTAAAAGCAGGGGAACTTCACAGCAGTAATACTCTTACTCACCTATTGGAGAGCTAGTACAAGCTCAGGTGTAACTAGCTTTCAGTGGCATTAATCCCCCACTGGTAGGATGTAGGCGGTGGTTGATGATAGGTGGCTTGAAGTGAAGGTTTTCTCGGTATGAGGAGAAAAATAAAACAGAAATTGTGCTCTAAGTATATAATAAATAAAAGGATTATAATATAAATGGTATTGTACTCACATTTGAATGAGCAGGATTTACTGCTCACTATGATAGAGTGGGTGGTATAATCCCCACCTTGGATTCTTGGATGAGTATATTCTCCGAAATTCTTGATGATCAGGTTAAAAAATAAGATAAATAAATGAAATGGTATGTAGAAAAGGTATATGGCACGCACAAGGTTAAGGGGCTAATATTCCTTTAATAGTACAAATAAACCCTTAACCTTGTGTGTGCCTTCAATTTATATGTCTTAAAACCAGGACTATTCTATATCTTTCTATATCTATATATATTTTGCCTTTTTATGTAAGTATACTACTGGAATTATATTATCTTATTGTTTATTGTTGCGGCCTACCCTTCCCTTATCCTAGCTTCTAGTTGACCACTAAGCGCTGATCCATCAACTGTTTGTCCTCTAGATAAAGAAAAGTGTTCTCTGTTTTTTCCTTATGTATAACTTTAAAAAAGGGCAAAAAAAAACAAAAACAGGACAACTAGGGTTATGGGCAGGTCCCGCAAAAAATGCATTAGACCTGCGGGTGTGGGACAGTCTAGAAGAAGGAATATATTTTTGTACTTGAATTGTATTTTTGTACTTGAAACAATTTTTCACAATAAAGTGTTATTGTATTGCAACACTTTGGAGATTGCAGTTACGTTTCTTGTGTAAAGAATTACTCCCTAAACACAGCATTTCAGAATTAGAAATTTGGGTATAGAACATGCCAGCAATTTTCAAAATAAAGTGAGAGATCCACTTTAAGGAAATTGATGTAATAATCCTGTTTATACTAAACTGGACACAGTTCATGACACAAACTTCTTCTATAACTGTGCTGGGACTGGAGTCAAGTCCTACTTTTTCGCCATATTTTTACAACTTACCCACGGGCTGGGTATCTAAAAACAGAACCATATGTTTCGTATACAAACAAGAAAAGTTACTATAGATTTTATTATTATGTGATAGGTTTTAAAAACTTTTATATAAAACATGATTTTCTTAACAATATAATGCAATGACATCACATGGTGGAAAAGGATACTAACATGCATATAAATGTACTCTTTTTACTTTATTTTTTTCATTAATCAGCATTGGAGGTATGTTTACTGTATTTTTTAACAAACAATTGTTCGATATATTAATGGACTACCAATGAATTGGTCTGGGTACCGTAGCTCTGTAGCTTTAACACTGCAGAAAGCCACCAACCTAGCTTCCGTAGTGGCTGTAAAAAGCACGTTGAGGGCTGAAAGGTAAGTAAAACTCGCCTTTCAAACCGTCACAGGTAGGGGGTGGAACCAAAATTATTATTATAACTACAGCATTAGGAATACATGTTTGTATTTCTAATACTATAGTGTTCTGTTAAGGGCTATCTAGTATGGCGAAAATAATAGAACTTTAGGACTTTCAAATAAAGCTGATTTAGTCATTGTTTGTCTAACATAAAAAAACAAACAAAGGAAAGAAGGGTATTCACACACAGACAGTGCAAAAGAAGGAGAATATAGTATTTTATTGTCATCTTAACATACACAAAGTCTGTTTAGTTTACGAAAAGATTCATTGATATACTAGTTATTTGTGTATTAGTTCCTATATTTACAAGAAATACAATTCATGATATAGGGAAGAGAAAATTGACGATGATGTAAAATAGACAAATGTAATTTGAAGTCAGCAAAAGTAGGAATAAGTTAACAAGGCAGCACTTATCTCTTAAAAGGTGACTGTCAGTCCCTTGGAATTGAGACCATTGAATAATGCAATAATACACTGATAATCTCCTCTAACTTGTGTTAACCTATTTTTATGAGCTGCTCTGACTTTTGTTAAATTTATATTGAAGATCTAATTAAGAAAAGGAAAATCCAGGGCAAACAGTGCCTTAATTCTCATCTTTTGCATGTTTTCTTAATGTTGACTGCCAGATGTAAAGCACAGGGTTTATAAGAATGAGTGACAGGAAGGTAAGATGGAGGCACAGTGTTGCTTTCTAGATTAAAGATTATTTTTCACACCTCACAAATACATTTTTTTTTTTTTTAAATATAGATATAAGTAAATAATATAAAAAAATCCTTTAAATAATTTTCAGTGGCGTCACTAGGGTAATCCAGTAATCTTGAGTAATCTTCATGGTGTTACCTAACTCGCGATGAGCCACCACAGCCACAGCAGATCCGGTGACGATCTGACGCATCACTGTAGTGATGTCAGGAACTGTAATAGTTAATCAGTGATAGAGGAAAAAGCAGAATCTGGCATGCAGGTCGTGTAATATACTATGCGACACGCAAAGCTACATTCTGGTGCATGCGCAAGAGTTCAGCAGTGACATCGGCTCCTGGATTAAAAGGACCTGCCGGGAGGGACAGATTCAGGTAAGTAGAACTCACCTTTGCCTGCCCCCCTGCCACCGAAACTCCAGTGGCGATGTCACCATCAGGGGTATTTGCAAATTCTGCAAAGTCCCCAGACAGTGCCGCTTTAAGGTAATTCTGTAACTGCCATATATGGAGTGGAATCCAAATAGTTCTGTTATGACTATAGAGGTTATTAACTTTGGTGTTGTATGTGCCAGCATTGTTCTTCTGAGTATATACAGGAAATATATGCGAAGTCAGTGATAAAGTCAAGCTGCAGGGAACCAATTGTTGATTTGCATTGCTAGGTTAGTGTCTGGTTTGTGCCGTTTCACTTGTCTGAAGATAGGAACAATTCTGTGAACATATATATATATATAAAATAAATAAAAAAGACTTCCAGCAGTTTGATACCATTGTGTCAGCTGTTTATTCCCTTCATAGATAGAGAATTTTATTATAATTACCATCCTGAAAAAACTGGCACGCTTTTTTTTTTTTTACAAATTATTTTTCTAATGCAAAAAAAAATTGTCCTTGCACAACAAGGAAAAGAAGGTAAGTAGCCAGGTTTATTCAGATTTTACGGGAGGACAATAATCTAAATAGTTAGAGAAACACATTAACATATAATAAAGTATATATACTTTATTATATAATACCTTACAATTGTCGTCTGTGTGCTTGCGGCTGCATCAAGAGTTTTT